CGCAAATGCGAGAATTGATTTTTCAGCTAATTCATTTACGTTTGATATGGATTTAATGGTGGTGAAAGCTGCTGAGAAGATTCCAGAAATTGACCTATAGCATTTAAAGGAAGATGAAAATGCCAAGCTGCAAGAATTGGTAAGTGAGTTTTCATCATTATTTTCTGATAAGCCTGGGAATACACAGACAGTAACTCATTCTATTGAATTAAAATATAATGAACCTTGTAAAGCCAAACTGTACAGGTATGACAAAGAGAAAGAGGCTATCATTGAGAAACAAGAGATGTTAAAAAATAAAATTATAACCCCCATAAATAGTGAATATGCAAGCCCTGTTGTGCTCTGCAGGAAAAAGAACAATTTACCCGCTACGGATCCCAAAGCATATTGCTTTGCTATAGATTAACTAAATTTCTCAATAGTTTAAAAAACTCTCAAAAAACTCAATAGTTTAACTAAATTTCCGGTGTATCCTTTACCCGTGATTGAGGAGATTATTAGGAAAATAAAATCTACAAAATTTATGACTACTCTTGATCTCACTTGCAGTTATTTTCAAATTGCCATGAAACTAGAAGATGTAAATAAAACTGCTTTTAACATTAAAACAGGCACTTATGCGTTTCTATGTATGCCTTTCGGACTATGCGGGGCACCTTCAACTTTTCAACATGCCATGGATATCATTTTAAGTCCTGTTCTTGAGAAATCCACTTTAATTTATTTAGATGATATCATCATAACTAGCAGTACTATTGAAGAACATATAAAAGACCTTCACGAAGTTTTCTCATTATTGAAAGAAGTGGGATTAACTGTAAATGCATCAAAATGTAAATTTGCAACCAAAGAATTAAAATATCTAGGTTACAAATTTTCAGCTAAAGGCATTGAGACTGAGGATTCCAAAATTAAAAATTACCCTCCGCCAAATACGGCGAAGAAGCTGTCATCTTTTCTTGGACTATGTTCTTATTATCGTACATTTATTCAAAACTTTGCTAACATTGTTGAACCTTTACTAGTGTTAAAATGAAAAAAATCGAAGTTTATTTGGACAGCTGAGGCAAACACAGTCTTCGAACAATTGAAAGCAGCTTTAATTAATGCCCCGGTATTAAAGTTTCCGGAGGGAGATGATAATTTAGAGATTGCAGCCGACGCTTTAGATTATGCCGTGGGTACAGTGCTAATGCAAAATCAGCATCCCCTAGCATTTTTTAGTAAAACTTTAAATACCACACAGAGAAATTATACGCCGACCGAACGAGAAGCCATTAGCCGTGTTAATGGCAGTTCAGAAGTTTCGGGTATATTTCGGAAAAGCGCCCGTCACTGTGCATTCAGACCATGCTGCCGTAGGTGACTATATTCAGGAAGGAATTTAACTCCTAGACTAATTAGATGGACCTTAAAGTTGAAAGAATACAACTTAATTATTAAGCATACACCAGGTAAAGAAAACACTGTGACCGATGCACTATCAAGAATCAAGATGGATGACAATGGGGATCAAGTAGAATGCGCAATTTTAACATCTAAAGTTTTAGATTCCCAAGAAACTATCCTTTCTGAATTGAGGAAGGATCCGAAATTCGGTAACATCTATGCTTATTTAAAGGATCCAGATAACTTTGAACATCCAGACCTTGCTGCAATTAGAAACAGAGCTCAAAATTATGAGATTGTAGACAACTTATTGTTTTATACTAGGTCTACAAATGAAAACTTTGAATATAGGCCAGTCATCCCAGCTGCCCTACGGCTAAGCATTCTGAAAGAGTTGCGCGACATCCCGACAGCTGGACACCTCGGTGTAAGGAAAACGGTGCATAGAGTACGCGAGACAGTGTATTTTCCGCAACTACAGAAAATAGTAACTGCTTACGTGAGGTCATGTAAATTATGTCAGCTAGTTAATGATGTTAATTATAGCCCAGCCGGATACTTAAATAGTATTTGCGTGACTTTTCCTAATGAAATTTTGGGAATAGATCTTCTTGGACCCTTTCCCCAAAGCGAGTTAAATAAAAATTGATATCTTTTAGTAATTGCTGACCATTTCTCTAAATGGATAGAAATTGTTCTGTTAAAGTTTTTGCACAGGTATATCTTAAAATATGGTGCACCGTTAAAAAGTAATAAGTGACAATGGTAGGCAATTTGTAATTAAATTTTTTTTGAGGACTTTATGTAAAGGGTTGGACATACAGCATATGAAAATGGTCCCTTACAGGCCACAATCTAACATCGTTGAAAGAATGAATAAGAATATAGTTAAAATAATTAGAAGCTATGTTAAAAACTATCACAAGCGCTGGGATAGCTATATCGACTAGTTAGCATATGCTTTGAGAACGGCCAAGCATGACACAATGGGAAATTGCCCGCTGAATTATTTTTGGGTAGAAAGATTCTAACCCCACTCGATAAATTATTTTTCGTCCAAGAAATGGAACCTGAATTTCAGCAGGCGAATATCCAAAAACTAATTGATGAAGCATTGAAAAATTCAGATGTAGCAAGAGAGCGGTAAAAAGTATATTACGATAGTAAACGCCATGAAGCAGATTTCAAAGTGGGGGATAAGGTTCTAAAAAGAAAATTCACCCTCTCTAGTGCTCCAGAAAATTTTGTGTTAAAGTTTGCACGTAAGTTTGAAGGTCCGTATATAGTGCAACAGATTGTCAGAGCAGTCATTTATATCACTTTAGATTCGGGGGAAAGAATAAAGGCCAAACCGGATCAATTTAAAAAATATTATGACCGGAAAGATTTTGATGTATTAAATAGTTTTTTTGAAGGCTTACGAGACAGAAGAGGTGGCAGTAACAACAGCAGTTCCAGTTCCAGCAGCGATTCCACTCCGAGAAAAAGAGGAGAACAGAGGAAATAAGGCCGGAAGCAACTCAAAGTGTGCCACAGAAAAGAACCCCAAGACAGATGGAAGCTCCAGTGAGAAAGAAAGTTAAGAATACAGAGTCTGCCTGAAGAACGGTCCCAGCCAAGAACAAGGATAGCTGTGCCAGGACAAGGTCTCGCAGCTGACAACAACGGAAGACAGCAAAGTCGTGGTTTACTGAAAGATCGACAAGACCATCTATGGGTAGAATAAGGAGACCTGCCATGGCGCAAGGCTCGCAACACAGTCCGAAGCAACCAAGAATGTCCATGCAACAGTCTTCTACAAAGTATGCTCCAAGGATCAACTTTCCTGTTAATAAACGAAAAAACCAAGAGCCCTCAACAGTTCAGTTCAAAAAGCGGATGTATAGAGGAGAAAAAAGAAAGGATCAACCCCAGCCACTGGAGAGAAAACAAAGAATACAGATTGCAAGTGTGAGCAAATCTACTTGGAATCAATTATATAATAAACACATGATGGAGTACCAGTCAACAAAACACAAAAGATAAGTGAATTTTCAATAAATCCTATCTGTTGGTAAAATTACATGTTAATCTTTTAGTACGGAGTTTTTATGTTCAAGTTAATTGCCTCAGTGAAAGACTAAAGTTAGTTTAAGTTTTGTTTGTCGAAAGACTATTTTAGAAACGCCAAAAGTTCTGGCCATATACAAGCAACTTCGTATTTTTACTTCTTAATGAAAATTTGTTTTAGGTTCGCCCTTCTGGCGAGAAGAAAGAAGTCATGTAACATTTTTTTTTTCCCTCTCGTTTTATTCTCTAGTATGCTAAAAGTATGTGATTGTAAAAATGTGAAAATATCTATTGTGCTAAGGTGAAGTACTGTAAATGCATTTTAAATTCTAAAGGAATTAGAATAATTATGTAGTGTGAAAAGTTAATGAAAGAAAATCCAGGAAATTAGTCAAATTAAATCGTACGTTTCTGAGTGAAAGCTTGCATGTTTCAAGAGCCAGAAGAATAAGCTAAAATTAAGCATGAAGGTGGACGAATACTTGCGTTCCTTGAAAAACCCCAATGTTCGGTAAAATTAAGAAAATTACATTAAAGTCTAAAGAGTTAGAAACTCGAGAAAAAGTTAAATGCTTGTAAATGCAAAAGTGTTCTTTATTGTGTGTTTAGAAACATGTATTTATAGTTATTCCTTCTAGGAGAAGTTTCAGTACCGTAATGAGCAAGAACTATGTAGTCTACAACGAAAGGAAAACACATTATTTGTATTGTAATTTAAATTAAAGTTCAGTTCTTGTATGTAAGCGAGGCTCAGGGTTGTTTTTCTGGAATTTAAAAGTTTGTATCAGGTCTTTAAGGACCTTTATCCAAGTCTGCTAAATTCTGGCATCGGCAAACTGTAGGGATTTATATTTAGTTTTACTAATAATTTTAATTTTGGTTCAGACTTTTCTATAAGTCTTCATTCCCCTAAGTGTCAGTGCCAGAATAGTTAAATTTGGTAGCGCGTGTGAGGAGAATGCAAATTCTACCTTAAGGAGAAAAGTTTAAATACCGAGGTTTTAGAAGAGAAGTGAGAGAGTTGGGCTCAAGCTCTGCCGTAGGTACAATCGCTGATTGCTGGTTTAAATGGCTAAAATGCATTTATCTGCTGCCACTAGTTATAGAGGAGGTCGAAGGTTGGTATCTCGCCGAGCCCTGTAGATTAGTTTAGCACTTGTTAAACATTTCAACTTTTGATTTTTCAAATTATCTGCTATTCAGTTACCGCCCAAGTGGAGGCGAAGTTTGTTAGCGTCAAGTTGACGCCATGTAAAGTTTAAAGAGTTAATAAAGGGTTTGAACACTTTCTTCTGTGTAGTTTCCTGTTACTTCTGTATCCAGCTAGAGGTTAAAGCACCTGGACACTACAATGTAATTCTTAATATTTTAATGCGGTAAATTTCCCAATATATCTCAGTTTTATACATACAATAGAAAAATTGTTGCCAGGTAAAAATATGTAACAAAACTGAAAATATTTTAATTGATGAGATACTTCCAAAGTGGATATATTTCAAGAATTAATAAAAATAAATCAAAATTTTTTGGTGAGAAATTCAGAATGGAATACAACTCACTATTAAATGCAACACAAATAGCATCACTGCGTAATATTTTCAACTCCTTGTCACGAATCTTTTTAACTAAATTTGCATAGGTTTTCTCCCATCCATAGAGTTTCAAAAGTTTAATCCCTTGTAGAAGTTCTGTTGTTTTTTTCAGTCGATCATCTGAGACATCCTACATAAAAGGATTATTTGTAAAAGATGTAACAATTTAAAATAAAAATTAAGAGCATCCATCAATAAATGATTAAAAATCAACCTTAAGAATTAATTTCAAATTAAAAAACTCAGTGAATTTCACAGCATGAATGACATGCCTTTGTACCTTCATATTTGGGTGTGTTATATTACTAACGTCTTAAAATTTTAAGTTCAGACAGTAATATTAAGTCTCTAAATGAAGGACTGAATTATTTTATTCAGCATTATAATTTAATTTGGATTTAAAAAAATCACAGGATAGAACAAAAATATAATTAATTATCAATTAATGCAGTTTTGCATTAAAATCCTGATACATCATGTTTAATGTTAGATACATAATGAAGTTTTTATGAAATGTTTCAACTATTGCATTATGCTGCCATGCACTTATTTCTCCTGTGTTAAGGGTTGCTGCTATAGAAAACTTAAGTAGTACCTTTTACTTATCTCCCACAAAGTCTCACAAATAGCAAGCTCTCAAAAGTACTTAGTTGTTCTCAGTAAAGGACAAGATGTTTACTTATCTTTAAAATTAAAACAGTCCGTAACAAACTGATTAAAGCAACAAATGCATTTCTAAATAATTTAAATATTTTTCATTTTTTAATAATAATCTAATTTAATCAGTTTAAAACACATCTAACTTATGATATATCTGACTGATAATTTTTATGAAAACCAGCAGCAATAATATAAATTCTAGTAAAGCAGCAGTATTACTGTAAATTATAGTTTCTAAGACCACATATTACATACATTAGCACAAATTCTTGTTATTTAGACCATATGATAATCACAAAAGTAAATGCTCTCTCTTTCTTGTCAATTACATTTACTAAAAATACCATAAGATTACAACTTAATATGAATAATTATCAGATTTACAAAGATGATAATTATTAGACTTGCAAAATTATGTAAAATCCTAACACATTTTTTAATTGCTTCTAAATGGTTGAAATGAATTTTTGCTCGAGTACTCAGCAATAAGTAATCAAACACAAGAAAAGAATGGATTCTAAAAATCAATATTCATTTCAATTCTAATAACGTAACATTTTTAGCTTTTTTGCAAATAATATATTTTGGAATTAGATATGGAAATTGAACCCAAATTTTCTTACTCAAGTTTGAGATACAGAATACAATCCAGTGTATAAATGTATGAGTATTTGTAAGGATGAATAGTACAAAGAAGTAGAAATAGTAAGACTGAAGGAAGGAAAAGCTTCTCAGCAAATGTGAACAGAAGAAAGCTATAAAGAATAAGAAATACAGATATTGTAAATTAAAAGGCAGAAATTAAAATTACTATGACAGATGAGAAGAAATTTCAATACACAGATGTATCATACAAGTTATCAGTTTTATGATTCAGATTATTCTCTGGTCTTTTTCAAGGAGCAGCAAGAGAATTAGCAAGAGAGCTGCATTTTTGAATTACATCTGGATGAATTGCAAAATGAATAATAATCAAATAATTAAACTGAAAATGGATTTTTCTTTAAAAATTAAATTAAGGGAATTAAAAAAAAAACATTCATCAAAATAAAGCCTGCCTTAATATAACTCTTAAAGGAAATATGCATGTTACAGTTTACAATAAATTTCAATTTAAGTACATACTGTGTTTCTCTGAAAATAAGACCCAGTATTACATTAATGTTTGCTGCAGTGATTTTTTCAGGCAATATCTTATTTTCTATGCACAATATTTAACATTTGTTCATATTCAGGAAACACACTTCTTCGAGTTCAAGAAATACTGGACATAGGGAAATCGATGACTATTCACATTCAACTATACTCACATTCAAAAAACATTAAAATTGAATAAATCATTTACTCTAATACAGTTATGTTCTTCTGGAATATCATCATCCAAGCTCCAATCACGAGTTCAGGCCTGAATTTTTTGTGACTTCATTTCATACAAGACCATTGGCCCTAGCCTCTCATGTTGAACAACAAAGCTCTCCTCAAACAAGCTCTTGCACATATAGTCTGCTCATAGAGCACTAGCAACACAGCCATCCATTATTTTACCCCATGTATTCTTTAACCAAGTCGCAATTTCTTGTAGCTTAGGCTTCAAAAAGCTTCCTCGTTGATTTCTCTCTATTCTATTTTCAATGTAGTCATTGATTTTCATGCACAGATGGTCTTATGGCTTATTTATTGCAATATCAAGAGTTTGGAGATATGCATTCATTCCTGCAGGAATCATTGTTTGATCAATTCTTTTTTCTGCAAGGAAGTTCTTCATGGTTTTAGTGCAGTAAGTGCAGTCAAAATCCCACACTAGCATACCTTTTTGGCCACCTTGCATGCAAAACAAGTGGTAAAAATAAATCAACCCGCTCTCTCATTGCTACTTGTGTGCACCCAGCCTTTTCAGGCTAAAACTCACAAAGACCTAAAACACATTCGAATTATTTTCTAGCCTTATAGATGATTAAAGGCAGGGTTTCTTTTCTATCAAGAAGAATTGCCAAAATACATGTAAAGTGTGCACTTTCATAACTAGTGGAAGGAATGTATATATCAGAGGCACTCCTCTGATCTAGCTTGAGACCCTTGACCCCAAAACACTGCAGTTTCATCCATAGAAATCACACTCGTGAGTATGTACATGGAGAAGTTGATGCCATCAGTGAAAAATTGAATGCAAGTGCACGTTTAATCATTTCAATTTAGAGTCAGTTCATACCACTGTGCCATCCATCCAGTGTTGAGATGCTTTGAATTCCAATTCAGGAAACAATGATTGGCGACTTGATCTACACACACATTTCTTGGCATTTCCCTCGCAGACCTGTTGACTGAGGTTATTGCCCTGTGATCGCCGTTTTTGGACCACTTGTAGATCCAATTTCTTCTCTTTGCAAAAAGCTGTAAGAATTTTATCTCTGGAGTCTGCCACAATTTCTTTCTTGAACTCAACAGAATAGCTTTTTCTTTTTACACTCATTTTTATCCGAGCATCAAACTTTAAATTTATTATTAAATCAAATGCTAAACGTCCACCACTGATGCGATATATTAAATACTGAAAAATCTAATTCATTGCAATCACGTCCATTTGCTTCGAATGTGCATGTGTGTTGCATCTGCACTCGGTCATTCAGCAATAAGGTAGCTGTTTGGCTACCGAGTAATCTGGCAGACGATCTTTAAGGGTTTATATTAGAAGTGCCCTGAAAAATAATGGTGGAGCTTATTTTTTATTAGGTCTAATTTTCGAGGAAGCACTGTAGTAATAAGACTAAATATATGGAGAAAGACAATTTAAATTTAATTTTAATTTTGAATCAAAACGAAGAATTCTTTGGAGAAATTTTAATGAAAGTTTTTTTATGTATTTCATAATATATACATGGAACACTAAAAAGGTAAAAATATCCATGTAATTAATTAGAAGAGCAACTATAAAAACCAAAATTGCTAAAGCAATGCAAGCATGCCAAAAAAATAAATAAATAAATAAATAAAAATAAAAAATCAATATTAAAAAAAAGCAATTATTGGCAAAAAGAAAATAATGAGCTTAGCATTAGAATAAAAAATATAGTGGTGGAAAAAATGCTTAGAAATAACCAGTAAATATTCAAAAATTAAATTCAAATTTCATTAATTATGCAGCTCACAACTTTTGTATTCTGATTATTGGTGAAAAAAAATTGCATTCTGACTTTATGAAAAGGACTAATTAAAGTCAGCTTTTTTCCATGCTATCAACAATAATTTGTTTTATTTTCTCTTTATATTTTTAAAATTTAATACGCTAATACTAATTATTATGATTTTCATAATTTAAACTCATTTTCCTAGAAGATTCAATCTTAACTTTTTTATTAATTACAAAAAATATTACTTTTATTTTTTAAAGGATAATCAATGTTAATAATTGATTTAAACATATATATATAGATATACAGCAGATGTACTTAAAAACTTTATTTGCAAATTAATAAAAAAAGACTATTTTTGAAAATTTCAGAATGATCCAAACAGTAATCTCCATTTATAGCTCTTAAGTTATTATTTTGTTTCACAAAATTAATATATTTATAGTTCATGTGACAGTTATAAAGAAAATTTTAAAAAAATACTTTCTGAATGCAGAATTAAAAAATCCAAAATGATATACAAATTTTAAAAAAGAAGAAGATTATGTAAAAAAAAATGCACTACAATTCTTTGAGTTTAATGTATAGAATAGATCAAATTAATATACATGTATCATACTTAAGCAAAAGTCATTACTAATTATTCAAGCAATTCAGAACTCATATGTATTCTATATTTATAAATTATCTGTGAAACAGTCTATTGTATTTACAGATCCATTGTATTTTCTATTATATTCTATAATAATTTTAAACATAAATAAAATAAAATTGATAAATAATTTCAAACATAAAATTAAAATTTTAAACAACCACTTATTTAAGCCTTTGAAAAATACAACTTTTTTCGACTAGTAATAATGATACTATTTTATGCTCATATTATTTTTCAGGGTTCCTACACATTTCTGCGCATGGAGACTAAATATAATTTTTATTTGAGTTATGAATTTTTAATTTGAATACCTGAATTTGAATACAAAAGCAAACTGATTTTTGCTTTTGTAATAGCATTCTAAAAATAAAACAGATCTGTAAGTAGACTGCATTATTATAAAAAATAATCTAACAGTGAACATAATTATAAAACAAACTTGAGAATAAACCTGACTTTGTAAAATCCGTAAAGTTATGCTAGCTGTAAGCAATAAAGTTTTACATTAATTTTTACATTTTTGTGTTTATATTGTGTTCACAGTAAGGATTGATGAAAGGCAATAACTTACTTTAAGATGCAAAGATAACTTTTAAGGGTCAGCGATTAGTTACAAATAATTAGATTAGGTAGATAGATATTCTTAGTCATTATAAATCTACATGGTCACTATGAAATTTTACTTATTTTATTTTTAAAAAAATATTGATTACGAGAGCACTATTAAAATTGCCATTGAAAAACATTTTTTAGTTTAAAACACATATAATTTATGGCATTAAAATGAATATTAGGATAATTATACATTGAAAGTTATAAAATATTTATGTTTTGCCGCAGCAACAAACAAAATATTTATGTGTCTTTTTAATTTGAAAACATAACACATTTTAACTTCACACTAAAGATTTCTGTTATTCTAAAAAACTGCATGTACAGTCAGGGCCGATACTACAGCCAGTGTGGCAGAATTTTTATAATTTAGTGAAGCACTGAGCAACAAAATCTAGAGATGGCAAAACTTTTAGAATTTAGGGCAGGCCCTGGGCAGTAGAATTTAGGGGCGGCAAAAGTTTTAGAATTCAAGGAGACAGTAGGCAGCAGAATTTAGGACCCACAAAAATTGCATCAGGTGCGAAAATGCCCAACACCAACCTTGTGCATGATGCATTGAGACATAAGAGATGAATCTTTTAAATTGTCAGTTTTCAATTTCTTTACTAATAGAAAAGTTCCTTTCTGTAGATATTAAGAGATATCAGGATCATGTTAAGAGATTTTAGGATTAGAAGTAGGAAATTCAAATAATTGTTTTCATTGTTCTACAAAAGGTTCTCCAAAAGTGAGAAATTCATCACAAACTTCCTGTTAAATACATCCATTACATGCTAATACCATGAAGACATTTTTCATTTTGTCACATTTTTTTTTTTTTTTTTTTTTTTTTTGTAATCTTCTGGAGTTGTAGGTCTATAAATCTTGCCTTCAAATCATTCTAAGCCTTCTGAAGTGCAAGGCCTAAAATCCGAAAGAAATATATACCAATTTTTGTAACAGTAAAAAAATAAAAGTTGTTTGGAAAAAAGAAATCAAAGAAAAGTGTAAAATGAATTTTATAGAAAAAACTGATACACATTGTGAGAATTCAGAGATAATTACATGAGAAGAAGCTCTTACCATGAAAAAAATATAAAGAAGGCTATTTAAAATATAATTACAATAGCTATTTTGGCTTTTGCTAATATAGCTATGTGCTTTAAAATATAATTATAAATGCTAATTTTGCTTTTGCTAATATAGCTGTTTCGGAAATTATGCTTTAAGCATTTATTATCTCATTCATTCTTCAGATTCAAAATATTCTAATAATAAGTGATCAAAATGGAAAGTAGTGTCACTTTAAAATGCGAATCCACAATCAAAATGGCAGTCTTAAAAAACACATAAAAATGTAAGATAATTAAAATTAAGAGCCCCCTACCAATTTTGTCCAAAATTGAAGAATCAAAAATCGTTTTTAAGGCTCAAAAATCATCCCCCCCCAAAAAAAAATCATTTGTGCTACATGAACATTTTTTCAAGGACTTTAAAGGAATGTACAATCCCTGTTTTTATAGAAATATAAAAAGCTTCCTAAAACACATGCACCATAATTTATTTAATTTAAAAAAACAAGCTAATTTTTTATTAAAACAGCATTTAACTGAACTACATTGCAAACTTTTACATACAATACACAGTATAAAAGGGAAAAATACTTACTAATGCTTTTTCCTGAATTCGTGATAAAAGTGTACAAATATAGTACTGAATAGGAACAAGAAATATCACAGTAGCAGAACCTATTAAGGCACTGTAACCAAGCTGCACATATAAAAGAATTAACAGCAAGATAATCTGAAAAAATGGTAAATTTTTATTTTAATTAAAACCAAAAAACAAAAATAGTCATCTGACACAGCAACTACAGTCTATTTATGTTTGTAAACATTTATTTCTAGAACAAACATTTACACTTGTAAACATTTATTTCTAGAACAAATGTTTACATTTGTAAACATTTATTTCTAGAACAAGAAATTACAAATATTTTAAGGACAGAAACTGAATTCAGAAACCCATAAAATCAGAAATATTAAGATGTTAATAGTTGGTATGCCAAGTGGTTCATGAAGTAACAATAAATAAAATAGACCACTTCAGTTTAAAATGCTTAAAATCCTACCTTGAATGGAACAGCCCAAAGATAATGCCCCATTGAAAACACCATCATCACATTAAAAGCATCAACAGACATATGATTCACAACAGCTCCTGTATCCAATCCAGCAGATGAACTCATTTTCAAGGCTTTTTTATATACAAGGCACTAGCAGTACATTAAAAAAAAAAAAATTATTAATGTTACAAAATAAGTACATAAATATTGTATATATTTATTGCATGTAAAGTCAGACTTTAAAAATTAAAACAATAGATATAAACATACATATATATCTTTGCAGCTATACTATGTCATTACTTTTTGTAATTCAATCTTGATGACTCAAAAAGTATTGATGTGGCAACCCAGCAATGTGCATCCTCTTCCCCCACACAAATTAATTTTATAAGCCATACAAAGAAGTTGTGGTGTCCACATTAGATTTTTGTTTTTTTACTAGAAACAAATTTCTGTGTATATGAGCAGAACAAAAGTGTGCACGTGTAGTATCGAAAAAGAAGAATGAGATAAAAGTAAGCAGCACTAAATACATTATTTAACTACACATAAAGATCCCAAAGAAACATTTCTCTGCAAAGTTGCCAATGAGTAACAACTTTTTGGTGGCAGCATGGACAAAATATAGAACCAGAATCAGAAATAATATCAAAAAATTCTTTAATATTTTTATTATTTTTTATATAATTATTTTTTCCATTTAAAATTTGCCACTTACATGCATAGTTTATTGAAATAAAAGTTCTTTTGTATAACAGCTGGTCAATTTTTAAGCACAAAATATATGTTACCTGCAGTGCTGTTCTTAAATGTGTCCCTTCTGCAATTGCCAAATGATTGAAATTATTGGAGAAGGTACTCTGCATGAAAGTTGATATAAGAACAACAACTGACATAACAAAGCCATTTTGTAGAAACTCCCAAGATGTAGGATAATATGGCTAAAAGAAAAAAGTTTAAATCTTTTTAAAAATTAATATTGAAGAAGAAATAATTGAGGTAAAAAATTTAAACTTTTTTGCTACTTAAGGTAATTTTTACAAATACAGGAAAATATAAAACCTTTCACAGAAATATTCATAGAATACTCTTTATGCATTCTCACATTACAAATGCTTTAAACTTCTATACCTATACATGGGTATGAAACCAATCATTTACATAGAAATAAGATAATCAACTAACAGATATTGTTGATTTCATTTTCTGCTATTACTATTCATATTTTTTAAATCACAATAATTAAACAAAAAGTATTTTAACTGAAAGCAAAATAATAACAAAAAGTTATAAATATTGTAAATAATCTCTTTTTGTAAGACATTAACTACAAGGGTTGGAACTTTAATAGTGGCAACACAGCTGAAAAAACGCTACGCAACAAAACCAAAGAATATCACATATACCACACGTGAACTACATACCTTGTGGTGATGACGATAAGGAGCGCGCCTTGCGCCCTCCGATAAATGTGGCAACCCTAGAGAAGTTTCTTACGAGTAGCGAGGAGAGTGAAACAGGCCGGCTGTCGGGGAGTGTGCGCGAAGTTCCGAAATAAAGCTTAATTTTTATTGTGCACTATGTCTTGTTAATATTTATATTATGTAGTAAGAAGAACATAATCTGTGATATGGAATGCGATTGGATTGGTGGTAAAACATATAGGTAACAATATGATATGGAAATCATCATAACAGGAAGTCACCATAATGGTAACCCGGACTGTGTTAAATCAGGCCGTATGAAACAGTTCTCAAGCACTTTCGGTTTTGACTACAAGCCATCACTCAAGATCTCCAAACCAGAAGTAATGGATTACATTGGTTTTCATCCTCCGAATCACAGATGCGTAGTAATTATAGATCATTTTATAATTCTGTTTTCTACTTATCATTTAATTTTATTTTCTTTAGTTACATTTTTGCTTTTATTTTGGCTTAAAAACCTTGCACAATGTCTGATGTTCATGCCGACCAAATTCCGGTTTATAACCAATCAGACCCATCTTTATGGTTTATTATGTGTGAAAGTACCTTTACTCTTGCCACCCCCAAACCTATCACAGAATCCATTACTAAATACAATTATGTAGTTGCTCATCTTCCTCCAGATATTGCATCATTAGTGCTGGATTTACTTATGAAACCAGACCCTATTGAATCCATATACAAAGCTCAAAACTGAGTTAATAAATCGTTCAGGAAATCTTCTCAGCAAGAATTCACCAATTATTATCTGGAGAGGAATTAGGTTCTCGAAAACCTCCGATTTGCTAAATATGAAACGTCGAGCAGAATCTTTAAATGTTCATGATAACTTAATGTTAGAATTATTTCTTCACTTTGCCTTCGACTGTTCAGGTCTATTTTGGCAGCGGTTTCCAATTTAACTGTAGATAAAGCTGCAGAAATTGCCAACAGAATTTTAGAAGTAAATCCAACCCCAGGGACTTGTGCCGTTTCTCGCACAGTCGATCAGTCTTTTGAGGCTAAATTATTTAAACAAATAGAAAATTAAACAACATATTGATCGCATTTCTCTTTCTCGTGGTTCGCTCGCCAAATCGCGGAGATTGTAATATGGAAAGAAGCAATTCCAAAAGGAGAGATTATTCTGTTTGCTGGTATCATAGACATTTTGGGAAAAAGTGTAGAGAAGACAAATGTACAAAACCTTGTTCATGGCAGAGAAACGAAACCAGCAAAGAATAGAGGCGACTTATTCTTTGCCTCAAGTTTCCCGTCGCCTGTTCGTTCGTGACAGTAGAACAAACCTTTCATTCTTGGTCGATACATGACGTGTCCTTACTTCCAACAAATAATTCTCAAAAACGAAATTCTCCCCAACAAACACTTTTCACTGCTAATTCTTCCACTATTCATGTTTATGGTCAAAAAACACTTTCTTTGGATTTCAAATTAAGACGACAGTTTACATGGACTTTTCTTATAGCAAATGTTAGTACACCCATTCTTGGAGCAGATTTTCTCCATTTCTTTGAATTGGTGCCTGATCTCAGAAACAAATGTCTCAAAGATTTAAAAACGCAGTTTAAAACCGTCGGCTGCATGAAAAATGCAAGCATTTATTCAGTAGAAACTGTATTTAGTGATACATCATATCACAAAATTTTAAAAGAATTTCCTTCAATTACTAGATTACCAGATCCTAACCAACCTGTTAAACACAACACCGTTCTTTATATCATAACTAAAGGTCCACCTGTGGTTGTAAAACCTCGTCGGTTTAGCTCCAGATCGCTTAAAAAGCAAAACAAGAATTTCAAACTATGATGCAATTGGGGCATTTGACCTTCGAGCAGCAATTATACATCTCCACTTACATGGTTCCAAAAAAGGGAAGTCTAAATGGAGACTTGTAGGAGATTATCGAGCATTGAACGCTCAACAATAAAAGAAATACCTATTCTATGCTTAGCGTTTTACTGCTGCATTGCACGGTACTAAAATTTTAGTCATGTTAACCTGATTAAGGCATCCATCAAATACCAATTAACCCAGCCGATCCACAAACCCCATATGCACACCATTCGGTTTATTCGAAGTACCGTATGCATTCGGCTTATGCAATGCATCCGCGACTTTTCAAACGTTTTATAGATGAAGTCACACGAGATTAGAAGGTGTTTACGCTTTCGTCGATGACTTGCTCATACCTCTAAAGATTCTGAAGAACATAGCAGCATTTGAAAGCTTTATTTCAACTTCAGGAATATGGACTTTGCATAAATGTTTCAAAATGCACCTTTGGTCAAATGTCTATTTATTTCTTAGGTTTTCCCTTAGTGAAATGGATTGAACCTCTTCCTGACAAATCAAATGTATTTAGATTTTCCTCAACCTACC